TATATATATATATGTAGAAATACACATAGCTATCTTATTTAAGGTCCTCGCAAACCTATGAAGATTTAGACCTCCCTCGAAATAAAGATGTTTCTGCCTGGTCCCGCAGATACAATAACTGTGGCTTGTCATCCAAACCCTATGCTGCTGGTGAGGTGCTGCCGGGTTTTTTTAATGAGCTCCTGCGATGCCAGGTCTTCGGAGCTAGGGCTGCGAAGTGTCACTGTGCAGATGTCCCGTGTGAGCACAGCAGCATTGATAAAGGGTTTCAGGTCTGGTGCAATCTAGGGTCCCAGAGCTAAGTCTAGTAGTAGTAGTAGCAGTCCAGAACCTAAAACCCTAAACCCTAANNTAAACCCTAAATCCCCAATCCCTAAACCCTTAAGCCCTAAATCCGAAACCCTGAACCCTACACCCCTAAACCCCGAACCCCCAAACCCAGAAACCCTGAATCCCTAAACCCCGAACCCATATAGGTTTTAGACCGTCGCATATCTAAAGTGCTAAGCCCTGTAACTTCTGTCGTTACTCCGCCGTACAAGCACAAACTAACTGTAACACGATCCAAAACCAAAGACAAGCCCTGGACGACCCGGAGATTCAGAAACACAATATTACATGAAATTTGGAACCAGCATCAAAGATCTTCCCCTACGCAGGTCCAGCGACAAGTACTCCTTTGCATGCATATGTCCTCAAGACGATCGGCAAGGGGGCATCTTGGCTACAAAACGATATAATTATAAGTTCCAGGGTGGGGGCACTTGGCGGTTGCATTGAGTGCTGGAGTCTAGAAACTGAGACCAGATCCCCGTAAAGAAACAATCTTAAGCCCCAAACCCTATGACCTAAAACCTAAACCCCAAACACTAAAGAAATTGTAGTATATTATACCGCCCTGCAAAAGGAATCTTCAACTCTAGCTACACTGGCCTTGGCAATGACTCCGCCCTCAGATATGACCTGCAACCCAGGGCTCTTCTTTTGCTGGGGCGCGAGAGATGCTGGAGGTGGTGAACAAGGAGTTTCAGTCGTATGGGCTAGAACTGGAGGGTGCAGCTGGTGAGTTCCTCAAGACTTCGGGGAAGTGGAAATCCAATTTCCAGCGAGACATGCTCCGCAAGTGCACTGCATGCAAGGTGTCTTCGGATGAAGCCTATTGTAGATTGAAGCTTGACCTTTCTGTTAGTAACCTTCAAATCTATGTAGAGGTCTGAGAACATAATGTGGAAGCATTCAAGGTCCCTGTGACGAAGCTGCCTATCCCTGTGATGCACAACGATGTGGTGACCAGAAGGATACTTGGCATTGTACATTCTGAGATAGCTGTGAACCACATCTTGAGTGCCTAGTGCACAGTGTAAGTAAGGCAGCTCCCGCTCCTGTTACCTCATGAACTCCTCCCTTGGCTTGTGAAACATGGAGCTCTTCCAGTGGATGAGCCAGCAAGTGCTGCCGTGTCCAAGTTCTGGGCTCATGCTCGTGATGTTGGAATGCCGGTAAATGGTGCAACAGACCTTCATATCCCACTCTACATGTGGGGAGACGATGCTCAGTTTACTGAGAACCAGGATAAGTTGGTGGCTGTGGCCATGGGCCGAGTCTTGGAAACTTCCAAAGATGCAAGGCTGACAGTTTGGCCGTTGTTCACGTTCCAGCAGGTTGGCAGCTCCGCAACCACATTATTGATTAATGACTTATGAATCGATACTCTGCAATTATACAAGCTTTCCCTCAGGGATACAGTGTCGGCCACGGGACCCTGAATGCCTTCATGGAGGAGGCACATCCAAATCCGTTTGTACTGCGCTACCACGTACCGATATGTGACCGATTAGCTTAAGAAGACTTGTAACAACTGCAAGGTAGTGAAATCCCTGAACATCCTGTTCGAGCATGGGGTTATGGTCGAGACCCCATCTGGGGAGAGGAAGCGGGTGTATGCTGCTGTGGTCCAGTACCAAGGAGATTGGAAATGGCATAAGGACAGGTTGTAGGGGCTTTATTATTTTATCCCCAATAGGTTGTGCCTTGTGTGGGTGTCAACGGGCAAGCCACCGCCTTGGAAGCAGTGCAGGGGAGTTGGTAGATGTGAGTTCTGGGTATTTGGGTTGTGTTTGAGCTTCAGGCTTAGGGCCTAAATCTCAGGTTTGTTTGGGGGACAGGGCCGGAGGCCTTGGTTTCGGATTCGGTGGTTTTATTGGTATGTTTGCCTCTGTGAACGTTTCCGGGCTTAAACCTTGGGTATGAGCATTCGAAATATGGTCTGGGGGCCTGAAGATCTAGACATTGGAACTTGGGTAAGGGGAGGTAGCCTCAACCCTAAAGCTAAAACCCTAAAGCCTTTCATTTCCACCATGAACGAAACCCCTAAAGCTAAAACCCTAAAACCCTTCAGTTCCACTATGGACGAAACCAAAGGTTTCGAAGCATCAAGCAAAAGCTCCAACACTTTTAGCTCCATCTACTGTAACCCTGCAGTGTCTATGCCTTCTGAGCTGGGTTCCGGGCTTAAAACCAAAAGCCTAGGAAGCCCAAAACAATAACTCGCCAAACAAATCACCTCCCAGTCCCTTGGTCCTTTGCAGGAATGGCTAGCGCTACAAGTGGGATGGAATGGCAAAAAGATTTGCCACCATTGCCAGGCTTGCAAGGACACTTACGCCTGTGTGCCGGGGGACTTGCAGCAGCGCCGGGATCGACAGAATTTCGAGGAGGAAGCCTGCCGGAAGCCCGAATGTGCCCAGAAGCCATTAAGTACTATTTAATTTGTTAATCAGATATGTCATCAAACAAAAGCCGAAGCTGGTTTTCTGATATTCGGCTATAGACTTATGTTCGGAGGCCCCTTGCTGGAAGTTACGAACTTCTCCCCGGAGTACATTCGTTGGTGCGTGATGCACACAATCAACCTGGGCCTGGTGCAGTTTTTGCTGGGCTCTGCTTTCCGTGTCATGGCGGATGCTCGAGTCTGGGGTGAGGGAAGCCGTGAGCAGCAATACAAGGCTGCCTTCCAGGAGTTTGTATCGTGGGCTAAAGTCCACAAGATTCCGCAGCTTGTGAGCAAGCAGCAATGCTGAGCAATGTTATACAAGGTCTGATTTCCTGCAATCTTAGGCACAGCCATCCGAGTATCAGCACGACTAGCGCCGGGAACTACCCGAGCTTCCACTGCAAAGCCTACAATGCAACTTTGCTTTGCAGTCCTCTGCTTGTTGCTTGGTGGTTCGTTCAATGTGACATGTCACACATGTCCTGATTTCCAGGGCAGAGTGGTGTTGGCTTGGATGGCTGGAAAAGTTGTTCAGAATGTCAACAGCTATCATGATGAGCAGCTGGCAGCAGCAGTGCGGTCTGTTTGCAATATTGCTACACAGACAAGTCTAACTGGGTGTCACAGGTAGGTGCTAGAAGTAAAAACATGCTTATTTTTTAGCCCTCCCCAACCATCACTCCAGGTGGCACCTTGCAGACTGGTTCAATCTTTCCGAGCGCTCTCCACAGTTCTTAACAGAGGCTCAGGCAGCCCTTATGAAAGGGGCTTGTGCTGCTTGGCGGATATGTGGTTGCTGATGTTTACTAGGGTTGGTTATGGTAATCTTGCCATGTTATACTAGATTTTAGGCCTAGGGGATCCGAGGATGCATTCTGCAATGCCTATCTCCTGCTCGCGAAATGGGCCATCGAGCAGAAGCTGTGCTTGTACCCTTTGAAACCAAAGTTTCATGCCCTGTGCTTAAATGCTTTCTGCACGAATGCAGTCTTGAAGTCCGGGCTGGGATGTACTTCTTGCAGTGTGGTTACCTTTCAGGCCTACCAGGAGATTGCCTATTGGACCTGCAGGCACCGAAACCCAACTGCATCAAGAGACATTACTGCATGTGCTGGTGGGTGAGCAGCATGAGCATCAGAAATATCTAAGGCATAAACCCTCGAAGCTACCACTGCTTTCGGCAAGAGGACATGGTCGGTAGCATGGTGCGGATTGCTGAAATGTGCCACAAAAAAACTGTGGAGGAAGTGACCCTTGCGAAAGTTTATTTGCACCTGCGGTACAAGCAGGATGTTTGAATACCCTGTGGCCACGAAAGAGTTACCAGAAGCCTTCAAGCTACTAGCAGGACACTTAATGCATGAGCTGATCACAGGTCAAATTATTTAATTAGGAATTCCAGTGCTGCAAACCGGATCGTGCGCCTTCGTCCACGGAAAGGCCGCCAGCCCACATGGGATAAGGTCTAGGGTTTAGGGTTTAGGTGTGGGATTGGGATGTTGGGTGTAAGGTCTCGGGTTTAGGGTTTAGGTTTTTGAGGGTATAGGGTTTAGGGTTTAGGTGTGTGATTTGGATGTTGGGTGTGAATGTGAAGTCTTTTTTTTAGGGTTTGGGTGTTTTTTAGAGTTTAGGGTTTAGGTGTGTGATTGGGATGTTGGGTGTAAGGTCTAGGGTGTAGGGTTTAGGTTTTTGGCTTTTGGTGTGTGATAGGGCTGTTGGGTGTAAGGTCTAGGTTTTAGGGTCTTTTAGGGTTTAGGGCTTAGGTGTGTGATACTGATGTTGGGTGTAAGGTCTAAGGTTTAAGGTGCAGGGTTTTTGGCTCAGGTGTGTGATTGGGATGTTGGGTGTAAAGTTTAGGGTTCTGTGCTTTGAGCTGGACACTGCGAGGCTAGGCCCATATGACCCCCAAGTTGTCCATATAAGAGTACATTCGCCCCACTCTTCTCTAGCACGAACTCGGCCCTCTAAGTCCTCTCTCTCAGAGACACGGACCCTTTGGGAATTATAACCCTTCTCATAACCGACTTACTAAGTCCCCTGGGCCTCCAAGTAGGGTGTCGGATTTGGGAGATGGCGGAATCGAGTTCATTGGAATTGGAGACGTGCAAAAGTTCGTCAGCCTGTTGAATGATGGCCTCATGTTTACGATGCCGTACCATGGTATACCAGCATAAACCCTAAACTTTAAACCCTAAACCCTAGGCGAAATTGCTAAATGGTGCTCTTGGGACATTTTGTGTTTCTTATTGGGTCTACAGGCATCTTTTAGCTGTCTGTCGAGGGCGGTGTCAATGGCGAATCTATTTCAGAATCCCAGCCCCGACCCAGGAAAACTGTAGGTTAGGAGGATGTGTCAGCCCGAATTTAGACGTTACTATTCTGCTTCATGAGGTATAAACGAGACTTGACTACATGTGTCTGTGATTCTGATCAAGGTTGTTTTTGTGTGCTGTTGTTACGGGGCTTTAGGTTAAGGGTTGTTGCCTTATGCTCTGGGGGGCCGCTAGCAATCCCTCAATCGTAAACCCTAAACCAAGACAGAGCCACAGCTTTTCAAGCAACAACTCTAATCTGGCCCAGACCCCAAACACTACGCCCTAGACCCTACACCCTATAGCTACACTCAGCGAAATGGCCCAAAACCCTGAACCCTACACCGTGAACCGAAACCAAGGAGACCGTGAGCTGTGGACCCGGTCCACCCTAAACCCGCCAAAACTCCAAAGCCGAAATCCCTAAACCCTAAGCCCCAAACTCCAAACCCTAAAGCCGAAACCCGCAGGCCCCGTGCATTCCGGCTGGAACCTCCAAGCGTATGGGTGCCTTCTACGAGAAGACGGGGGCACCTTGGTGGAGGTTCAGACAAGAATTGAGGGGTTTGGGGTTTTGGAGTGGAGGATCTTAAAGTTAAAGTTGTGGGGTTTGGGGTTTTGGGTTTAGGGTTACGCGTTTAGGGTTTAGGGTTTTAGGGTTCAGGTTTAGGGACGTTTTTGGAGTTTGGGCGTTTGGGATGTTGGGTTGTTGGGATTTAGGGTTTTGGGCTGGGTTTAGAGAGGGGCTCTTATGTTGACCTCATGCCAGCAGAATGTGGAGCCTAAACAGTAGAATGCTCATAACGAGGACATTCCAAAAAGGAGAGTCGACAAGGATTCGGACATTCTGAAACCAGCTGGTGCAGGGTTTAGGATTTAGGTCCTAGGTGCTTACAGACGGAAACCATGATACAGAACCCGAAAAAGGTAGATTGCCCAGGCTTTCGGTAAAATGTCAGCTCCGGTTTCGACATCCCGCGAGCTACATGAGTTTGCTGACACCGCGAGGTTATGCAGCACCGGACAGAACCCGGCTTCAGAGACAAGAAGGCCGCGCCGTTGGGACCCCCGGAAAGTAGGTACAATAATGGCCCAACCTATAAAAGTCTATTATTCTATATGATTTTGGAGTCCAAGTAATACCCTAAACCCAAACCCCTAAACACCCTAAACCCTAAACCCTAAACCCAAACCCCTAAACACCCCAAACCCTCAATACCCTAAAGCCAAGTAAGCCCTGGCCCTAAACCTGGCATCCGCCGCGAAAGTTGAGACACCCACGAAGTCGATCATAGGGTTTAGGGGTTTAGGGTTGTAGGGTCTAGGGATCATAGGCTTTAGGGGTTTAGGGTTTAGGGTTCAGGGATCATAGGGCTCCTTTGCAAGCCTCAGTCGACCTAAAAGGCCAAGCCTCAAAGCCCTGAGGCGACCCTTAAGGCAACCCTGAAGTAATCCTAATCCATAAGGTAACCCAAATGTAACACTTTAAGGTAGCCCCTTAAGGTAACACTTTTAGGTTACTCTTAAAGTAGCTTTTAAGTAGACCATAAACTGTCTTCGTAGCGATTATTATGGCCGGGAACGCAGATTGAACAGTTGCATTACCAACTCACAGTTTGGGGTTTAGGGGTTAGGCTTAGTTCGTGAAGCGTATATATATATATATATATTATACACACACATACTATACCGACTAGACAGACTAGACGGAGGCAGGTGGGCGACTATTCAAGGCTTTCGTTTTCGGATTGGTTTCCAGAGCTTGTTGGCTATTGCGCTTGGGACGTTACGGGCTCAGGTGGTGCATTGCAATGGTGCTTGGAGGCCCAGGGGACTTAGTAAGTCGGTTATAAGTAGGGTTATAATTGGGGGAACTCCATTTAGGG